GCAATAGCAATAGCAATAGCAATAGCAATAGCAATAGCAATAGCAATAGCAGTAGACTTATATACCGCTTCATAGGCCTTTCAGGCCTCTCTAAGCGGTTTACAGAGAGTCAGCATATTGCCCCCAACAACAATCTGGGTCCTCATTTCACCCACCTCGGAAGGATGGAAGGCTGAGTCAACCCTGAGCCGGTGGGATTTGAACCGCTGATCTAGCAGTAGCCTGCAGTGCTGCATTTAACCACTGCGCCACCTCGGTTTTACAGTTGCTAAGGAGGAACGTCCCTGATTCAGGGGGATAATCACCCCCTGGGCATGCACCAGGAGGCATTGGGGGGGGCAATGAGGCTCCTCCCACACCTCCTGCAGATGCTGAGGTAGCCCCCCCGGGCGGAGGGAAGCATGGGCAGCGGCTCCCAGGGGACCCCGATTGTAGTCTAGAACCAGCCCATGGAAGGCCTCCCAGCAGGGGCCGAGAGGACCCCCAGATTATGCACCTGCTCTTTTTTGGGGGGTGGGGGCTATAATCCTACCCAGGCAGGGACCCCCCCCCAAAAGTAAACCATCTGTGCTCAGGTAGAGCCACAGCCGGTCCTTCCCCATCTGGGTCCTGGCGCATGGATGACCCTGCCCTGATCCTGCGTGGTGGGGGACCCCTCTCATTTCAAGATGTCACACAAGTGAGGTCTTGAGGGCCCCCAGATCCTCCCTCTGCAGGGAGAACAATCGCATCGTCTGGCCCTCCACCCCCAAACCTGGAAACCAGTCAGGGTGGCATGATGGATGGCACTGGAAGCTGCCAAGATCCAGGCTCAGTTGGCGCCACCTGGGCATTCCAGTCTACAGGCCCAGGAAATGCCACCCGGGGGCCTCTGTGAGAGCTGCAGAGAGCCCCTCCTCTGGAAAAAACTGAACCACAGCTTCTCTAAGAGGGAAGGGGGAGCTGTCCCCCCTCTCCAAGCCACAACACTTGACAGTGGTGGGATTCAGAAATGTTTACTACCGGTTCTGCGGGCGTGGCTTGGTGGGCGTGGCAGGGGAAGGATGCTGCAAAATTCCCCTTCCCTCCCGATCAGCTGGGACTCAGGAGGCAGAGAACAGATGGGGCGTGGCCAGCCAGAGGTGGTATTTACCCGTTCTTCAAACGACTCAAAATTTCCGCTACCGGTTCTCCAGAACCGCTGAATCCCACCCCTGGTTTGCTACCCACGTGATCCACTGCCAGTCATCGGCTCAGGGGGCTCCACCCAGAGCTGACTGCCACCCAGGGCCCTGAGCATCCCCCTTCCCCCAGAGCTGGCAGGTTCGAGGTCTCCTCGGCCCAGAAGAGCCAGTGGAAGCCTCCCTCACCCTGGACAGGTCCTCAGAGTCTGTGGGGCCCCTCGCAGATGCTCCTGCCCACCCTCCATTCCTAGGAGTGGTGGGGTTGCTATGAACAAGGCCGGCCGAGGCGGCTGTGCCGAGGCCACAAGAGAGGGAGGGAAGCTGGGCACTTTGTTCCCCCCTCCAGATTCAGGATTTTTTTTGGGGGGGGGGGTGTTGCAGGATTTTCTCCTTGTAAAGCAAAGGTAAATGTTCCCCTCGCACATGTGTTCATCGTTCCAACTAGGGGGCGCTGCTCATCTCAGTTTCAAAGCCAAAGCACTGTCCGAAGATGCCTCCGTGGTCACGCGGCTGGCATGGCTCAAGGCCAGAGGCGCATGGAACACCGCTCCTCCTTGTAGGTCTGGCTGAATTTCTGCCCCACGGCCTTGCTTTAAACTTAAACTTTAATAGGATTTGTATGCCACTCCCCAGGGACTCTGGGCGGCTCACAAGTAAAAGCATTTAAAATATTTAAAAATACAAAAAAAATACAGTGTGTGCTGTAGGGCAGCTCGGGCTTCAGGGGGGGCGGTCAGTCTCTCCCCCCCCCAAACAGCTGGAGGCAACAGGGTGGGTGTTCCGCCACCTTTATTGTTCAGGAACAGGTAGCTCACCCACGAACACGGCCCCACATCTCCCCCCAAGCACGAAGAGCTTCAGATATAGCTGCCCTCACCCCAAGCAGAGCATGGGCACAACCCCCCCCAACACTGGCAACCCTCCCCACCCCATAGGGAGTCTCCCATGGGGGTGCTTGGATGCCTGTTTCCCCTGGAGCCTCATGCAGCATATTGGGGGGGGGGGGGAAATGACCAAATACTCTCAGAAGCGGGCCCCTCCCTCTCCATCCCGCCATGGCAGAGGGGCCGGGAGGTGCCCTAAAGTGGCAGAGTGCGATGGGGAGGGGGGGGGGGCTCCCATGAGACTTCAATTAATACAGAATCAGCAGGAAGAAAGATTTGTGCCCCCCCCTCCCCAAATAGGAGATGAGGCTTCTACACATGTTGGAACTGTTGCGTGTTGGGGGAGGGGTGGGGGGGAGGCAGCAAAGTTTGAAGTTCTGCCTTTTTCCTCCAAAAACGGATTTTGCTTCACGCTGCATCTGCCCCTCCCCACTTAGGACCCCTCCCTTTTGCCCCCCCCCCTTTTAGGACATCAAATAGACCCATCGTCCCAGGCCCACCTACCACACAAAGCAAGGGAAGACCCCTCCACGAGTCCCGGCTGCCCTGGATTCCCCCATCGCCCGCCCCTAAGGCTTCTGTGGGGTGGGGGGCTGCAGAATACCCCTGCAGCTGTGCCCAGGTAGGCCCCCGTCCTGCCCCCCACCTGCACCTGGGCACTACGACTACTACGCCGATCCAAGCAAACTGCGGTGCAGGCCCAAGGACCCCACTGACGGCAGAGACAGCGCCCTGCCCATCGGGGGCTATGCTGACCCCTCCACCCCTCCGAGGCGGTATCCTCCCCCACTGCCCCCTGGGAAAGGGGCCGTAGAAGCAGCCACCTGGCAGAATCACTGGGCACCGGCGTTCTCCTGCTGCAGGTTGGGTGCCGATCTCTGCCGGCGCATGCAGGGCGGGGTGTGTCCCTCCAGGACCCCAGAACGGCGCTGCGGGTAGGGCTGGTGCTGGTGAGGGTAATAGTTATGCTTGCGTGGGGGATGCTGGTCCTGCCCTCTGCCCTTGCTGCGCCTGCCCCGTGGGCCCCCTTCCAGGGAGTGGCGCCGGCCCGGCTGCTTCGGCGGCGCGGTGGGACCGCTGTGGCTGTTGGGGCTGGGCGCCTGAGGCGTCTCCTCGACAGGGGCCCCTTCCTTCTC